CAGGAGGCCTCCAAGAGACCTCACGAGAGCTCCGAGAGGCCTCCCGAGAGCGTCCAGAGAACCTCAAATCGTTGATTTTCATTGTCTTTTAAAAAGGGTTTGGCCTTCTCACCATTTCATGCTTCCAACGCTCCAAGACGGCCGAAGAGGCCCCCAAGACCGCCCCAAGACCGCCCAAGAGGCCCCCAAGACGGCCCCAAGACAGGCCAAGACGGCCCCAAGACTGCCGAAGAGGCGCCCAGGACAGCTCCAGACCACTCCAGAACAGGCCCAATATGAGCCCAAGAGCAGGAGCAGGTGGCCGCCAGAGATCTCCCAGAGGACTCCGGGACCCCCCGGAGGCCTCCAGCACACCCCAGACCCTTGAGAGGCTCCCCAAAAATCCCCGACGAGGCCCCCCAAACAGCCCAAGAGAGCTTCGAGAGCCGTCCCGAGAGAGCCCGAAGAGGGTCAAATCATTGCTTTCCAGTGGGTTTTGTCTACGTTTTTCGCCTTCTCACGCTTTCCCGCTTCCAACGCTCCAAGACCGAGGAATTAACAAAAAGGGAATTCCAGAGGTTCCATTCCTACTCCTACTTCCTATCCCTATCCCTATCCCTATCCTCTTCCCTATTCTCTTCCTATCCCTATCCCCTTCCTCTTCCTCGAGCCCCATCAAGACTTCGGGGTCACATGCAAAAATGTTTCGGGAATGCTGTTGAACTCTCTGACGCTGTCTTGCCACTCCCTTGGATCGTCTTCGTATCCTCTTTGGCGGCCCCTGAAACCATGGTATAAATCGATATCCCATGACCCCATGAGTTGAAGGAGTGGAATGTTAGAACTCTTTTTTCCCAAACTCACCCCCTGCTTATGTTTGCACGAAGACCCCGAGGGGCATCCCAACAGACCGTGGCCTGCATGCAGAAAACGTCTAACTCAAAGCCACGGCACTACAATTTGAAAAAAAGGAAATCCCACCATTCCGTTTTTTCCACAGTTCGTCCCCTTGTCTATTCTTGCGCAACAGACCACAATTAAGGCATCAGAAAAACCAAGGCAGGTTTCGAGTGCCCCAAATCGTTGAACACCTAACTGCAATTCATGATGTTTGCTTTTCCGCAGTTCCCCTTCTATACGATTCCGAGGCTTGCGCAGGGCCTCCAAGAGAGTCCCTGGATACAAGAAACGACAAGGATGATATTTCATGTAGTCGCCCATCAAGCCTCGCTAGAAGCGCGCAAAGAGCGCGCGACGGTTCTAGTGTGTATATATATATATATATATATATGTATGTGTTGTATATAACCAATTACATGTGTATGATACTATATATATGTATATATATATTTATATGTATACATGTTTCTGTATATTAGCACACCTTTATGCGTATCTCAATGCCCCCACCTATAGAAAACTGCATGCGTATTCGTACTTGTCTGTATTCCTACATACTTACATGTATACATATATATAGATCGTTTGTTTGTATTGGTGGATATATATCTACACATTTTCAGGTATCTAACATTATTTGCATACGTGGATGTATAGCACATATTTGCATTCACACCTATATGCCATCATAATTATATCTTACACTATATGTAAACATGTCTTTATTCCGCTTATATATATATATATTCATATCAAGAATGTATATATATGCTATATATGTATATATCGTTATTTTCACGCTGCATATATATATATATATATATATATATAAATAAATAGGTGTGTGTACATAAATGTATGCATGTATCTAGCTACCTCCCTATGCATCTACATGCACAAACTAGTTCTACACATACATACATATGGATTTATGTAGATTTGCATAATGACGTATATATATATATATAGATATCTGCACGCGCATACATACACACATACTCATATCAACTTTCGTTATACATATGCGCGTGTATATATATCAACATAGTTGTAACTGTATACGCGCATATATGTTCATATATATATGCATGCTAGAAACTTTCTAGATGCGTGCGTAATTATAGTTCGAGGCATACGTATGGTTGTCGATCTATGATATACATATATATATATACATATATAGATATATCGATGTACGTATCGGTAACTGTATGATTACTTCGCGTTTCATAGGTATAGGTCTCTAGACCTATATTTAGATCTATAACATGCACAAACACATGCACACATGTACACACATATATTTATATATATATATATGTGTACATGTATGCATGTATGCATGTATGTATGTATGTATGTATGTATGTATGTATGTGTATATATATATATATATGTATATATGTGTATGCACACCAGGCTACAGGGGGGGCGGCGCCGCCATGGGAGCTCAAGGCCTCGGGGCTACAGGGGGGGGTGGGGGCCCTGCCAGCTGCCCCGCGTCGCCACGGGCGCTCCGGGCCTCGGGGCGCCGTCCCCCCGCGGGGCCCAGAGAGCGGCCCCCGCTCACCAACAGTGCAACCCAAGACGCCCAAGACAGCCTCCAGGCAGGCTACGGGCACCCCGAGGGAGGAGGGAGAGGGAGGAGGAGGGGGAGGAGGAGGAGGAGGAGGAGGAGGAGGAGGAGGAGGAGGAGGAGGAGGAGGAGGAGGAGGAGGAGGGAGCCTGGAGGCCGAACTGAGGACGGGACGGGTTTCGACGAATGCCACCTTTCCAGGGTTGGGCTGTTCCCATTGCCAGGGCTGGGACTTTCCTGCTCGCTGTCGGCCTTCCAGTGCGCCGCCCGAACGTTCGGGTGTTGGGCCAGCGACCCCAGGAGGCCCCATACAGCCTCCAGAACACCGCACCTCTCGCCTGGCCCCCGGGGCGCTCGGTGCTTCAGAATTGTGCGGCAAGCTGAGGACATCTTGGACCAGGACCACATCACGCAACACCCAGTCCAAACTCGCTGGCTTTCAGAGTTTCCTGATCTGTCCTCATCCGAACTTGTCCTCGTGACGCGCGCTCAAGGGCAACATGGTCTGGCAGGTGGGCAAGAAGTTCTGGCAAGCGTGAGTCGTTCCACCGAGGCAGCGGGCGACGGTCACCTCTCGGACATTCAGTGCGAAGAAGACGAGGAAACCGCCGTGCTCCTCCTCGAATGAGTCACCTATGAGGGCTGCAGCAGTGAAGTTCGACACCAGTCGAGGCCCAGGCTACAATCTTTTCCTACCAGATGCTTCTTTCTCGTAGTCGAGTGGGTATTGAAAACTTGTCCTCGTCCTGCCCTCGTCACCACGGGGCAGGTGGGGACGATGCTCTTCTGCGACGTGGATAGGGACACGGGGCCCGTGGCGCCGCGGCCGCTGCCAGTGGTCGAGCTGAAGGCGCGGGCGGCTCGGGCCCTTCCTCGGCTGTTCCCCCGCGTCTCACCCCTGGTTTCCTGCCACCCCCACATCCTGGCGTTGCATTTTCCGCAACGGATAATTTCGTGCAGTCTCGGGCTCCAGAAGCCTCACAGATCGACCCGGCTCGACAAATGGCGCAGAAAGAGGAGGAAGAGGAGGAGAAAGAGGGAAACAAAAGGAGGAGGATTACGAGGAGAAGGCGGAGGAGGTGGAGGAGGAGGAGGCGGAGGAGCAGGAAGAGGAGGGGGAGGAGGAGGAGGGATAATACGAATCACATTAAGACCATTAATGATAATACAAATGGCATTACTGATGGTATCAATCGTGGTAGTAATCGTAGTAGTAGTAGTAGTAGTAGTAGTCGTCGTCGTCGTCGTCGTCGTCGTCGTCGTCGTCGTCGTCGTCGTCGTCGTCGTCGTCGTCGTCGTAGTAGTAGTATAGTAGTAGTATAGTAGTAGTAGGTAGTTAGTAAGTAGTAGTATAGTGTAGTCAAGAGTATTATTAATTATTAGTAGTAGTAGTAGAAAAAACGTAGTAGTAGTATAGTAGTAGTGTAGTAGTATAGTAGTTCGTAGTAGAGTCGACGTAAGTCCGTAGTCGTGTCGTAGTCGTAGTCGAATTTAGTAGTTGTAAGTCTTAGTAGTAGCGTAGTCGTAGTAGTAGTAGTAGTAGTAGTAGCAGTAGAAGTTACGAAGTAGTAGTAGGTAGTAGTAAGCAGTATCTAGTCGTCGTGTAGTTAGTCGGTGCTA